GTTATAGTTATATTTGAACTTTTTGTCTATACTTATCTAGAAATGACATGATGAGTATTCACAGTAATGTTAACTTCGAGAGGCTTTTTATTTTATATGGAACTCTCTAGCTCAAAAATATTGTTGAGCATTATTCATGAACATATATTTGAATCGTTGTGCATCCACAATCAATATATGTGGCCATCCAAACCTATCCGTAAAGCAGTTGAGTGGAACCTTCTAAGGTGTCCCAGTCCGTGGTACTCAATTTAGGAAATGCCATTATATCGAATTGTGATAGCATGAATATACTCTCCGTAAAATAAATCTCACAATATTATAATATTTTTAAATTGATTTAGAAGCGTTTCTTAAGGCTCCCCCCAGAAACCGTCTACCCCCAAGAAAAACTTGTTAAGCATTGCACGTGTGCATATATTTTTCTCAGTGTACGTCTAGCTTATAATGATGCTGTTGCTGCTGCTGCTGCTGTTGCTGTTCCTGTCGTTTAGTTGCTAAGACGATGCCGACAGTTGGACCCGAGTCTTTAGACAACTCAAGCGAACTGAAGTTGAGTCACGGGCGTGCACTGACAATGATATGTGCCCGAGCTGAGAGTACTATGCACACACCTATGCGCACACCTATGCACACACCTGTACAAGCATACACACACAATCACAATGCTGTCAAGGCCACACACATACATGCACAATGTTGGCGGCGGGGAATCACCGTAGAGACACTTTGCACCGGAAATATTGTTGACAGTTGTGGCATATTATCATACTTCGGGTGTTCCAGGCGCGCGCCTCGTAATTGCTCAACATTTTTCGCTCGACCTTAAAGAGCAACTCGAGAAGAAAGTGAAGCGTAATTTCCCGCTCATCGCTAAGCCGTCGTTATGGAAGCTCTAATCATTTCGCCAATTATTCTACGCAATAACAAATTCGAAAAGCAGCATATAATAGAAGTTCTTAAATTTCCTCAAAATAAATTGCGACATGCATAAATGAGCACACAGGTTGGGCCACTCTTTGAACTGCTATCACTTTGTTAGGGCTAAGCTGTTTATTATTCGCTTTTCGAAAGGAAAATAATTTACGCATACTTTATAATTGTTATTTGAAACTGTTAACATTAAAATGTATTTCTATTCAATTGCTTACTCTATTCCCGCAAATCATAGGCAGAATGAGTTTATCATTTGTTTTTCGATAGGTTTTCCCCTTTTCATAATATCGATAAATATCGATTTTGTAGCCATGATTTTTATTTGGAAATTCTGTAATAACTAGTTCGCAGTTTCTTCATAGAACTCTGTACGGCCTACGGATAGTATAAAGTTAAAATTTTAATATTTGCATACAAATTTTATGAATTTATGAATTAACAAGGATTAAACCTGGGCTCCCAGATGGGAGAAACTGGTCCACGAATAGAAACTTAAAGCAGGGAGCTAGTTCAAACCTTGAAAAAAACACAGACATTTTATTTGTTTTTCTGATACATGTTTTTATTTCATATTATATATATATAAAATATATATATTTTAATTATAAAGAAACCTATTTATTTTTGAATTATATATAAAATATTATTATTATATTTTAGTTTTGAATATACATATTTGAATTATATTTAAAATAATCGTTTAAATACCATTTCAATATTTCTCATGTTTTTTCGAAACTAATTTTTTTGAACATTTTAAACACTCTAGCGAGCTTTCAGAAAAAAGAGTTTTGAGTAAAGCTCTAACAGACCTTCCTGTGCCGCCATCTGTTGGCAGCTTTTAAATGATTGTACAGAAAATTTAAAAATTTTTGAGATTTATCCTAAAGTAGGCCTTAAACTGAACCCGGCTGATATTTGTTTAGTTTTTTATAGTTTTATTCAGCACGCACACATCGAAAGTTCAAAAGACAGCTATAGATATTTTGATAACTTTTTTTTAGTGGAAATTTGATTAAGCTATTAATATATTAGATAGGTTGTGATGGCTTTGGAGCGGATTTGCGGCATTGATAAGGCGGACTTTATGCAGCCCTATAATGATCTGAATGTTGCCTATGCACAAGTGGAAGTCAACACGGGCAAGACCGTGTTCGACAGTGCATATTCTGTAATCGCGCCGCCCTTTGAGGATCCGAAGCGGAAGATTAAGAGATCGCTAAAGAAGAGCAACTTGAACCTGGAGATGTCGCACGGGACGACCACATTGGGCTTCAAGTACCAGGGCGGCATCCTTCTTTGCGCCGATTCGCGCGGCACAAATGGCGAATTTATTGCCTCGCAGGAAATGAAGAAAATCATTGAGGTGGACAAGGGCATATTGGGCACCATTGCCGGCGGCGCCGCCGATTGCGTCTACTGGGATCGGGTGCTCACAATGGAATGCCGTCTGTTCGAGCTGACCTATGGACGTTCGATGACAGTTAAGTCAGCGGCGCGCATCATGTGCAACATTGCATACAAATTCAAGGGATTGGGCCTCTGCATTGGCATGATGCTCGCCGGCTACGATTTTGATGGGCCCCAGCTCATTTACGTGGACTCCGATGGTCAGCGCGTCGAGGGCAATTTATTTACGATTGGGAGCGGTGCGCATTGTGCATTGGGCATCTTGGACAGCTTCTACAGATGGGATATGTCCGATGAGGAGGCCTACAATCTGGCATTACGCGGCGTTTACCATGCCACCTATCTGGATGCCTATACGGGCGGACTCGTTCGTCTCTATCATATGAGACCGCACAAGTGGTCAATTGTCACTGTCAAGGATTGCATGGAGCTGGGCGAAATATTTGCCAAGGCACAAAAAGAAAATCCAACCGGCGGACCATCTAGTATACTAAGGAAGGGCTTTAAAGCGGATCCTGAACCGGAGGAAGACGAGGTAGAATCAGTGGAAACGAAAATGGAAAAGGATAGGAAAAGGGAAATAGAAAACGCAAAGAATAAAGAAAAAATATTATTTAGTTAAGTTTAATAGTCAAGTTTCTCGTGGCTTCTGTTTTGATTCTATATCACATTCAAACGAATCAAAATTTTTAAAATATAAAAATATTATATTATATGAAACATCACGCACTGCTATGATTCTGTCTAGAAGACTACCCAACTACTATACATATCTCTGCAAATATCTGTTGCTATCTTTTTCGTATTATTTCTAGATTTTTGGGTACATTTTTTTCTGGTTCAAATCCAACGAATAAGCTCTGCAATTACTCTCCCGGCTTCTTTAAACACATTCCCATTTCATCGTTAGTAAATCTTGATTAATGTTAAGTAATATAAAACAGTGTTGAGAAACGCTTATTAATATTATTTAATTTTTTATTAAAATGTTGAAAACATTTTCGTATCTAATGTAAGCTCTTAAAAGTGCAGCCAAGCCAAGCTGATTTTGAAAGGGAATATACAAGTTTATATTTTCTTAAATTGATTTTTAAATTTGTTTTAAATGTATCTGCACTTTAAGCTGAATTCCAAGCTTTCTAGCAAAGCTTTCAGTTAGCTTTGACAAACTTAAGCTACAGCTATGGCGCCATCTGGTGGCCAACTTGCAAATGGTTAAAATCTGAGCTGTGCTCACAGTGAAGCTCTGGCCAAAAGCACAAAATTCAAATAGTAGGGAAATTTGTTGATGGTACTTTTTTTATTAGTATGGACACCTCAATTTCCCTAGCACAAGTAGATGCTGCAGTAGGCCAAGCAATTCACGTATCAAGTAACCCTGCTCGAGTCGGCTGAGCTATATAAAATGTGTTCATTAAGAAAGCAAAACGGCAGCAGGCACAATTCAGGCCAAAGCAATTGCATTATTGAGCTGCTACAAAATAAGGAAGATAAAACGAATAACTCAAAACTTGGAAGGATGTTGGGCAGACAGGGCCTCATATTGGATGCACTGAAGCATAAGATACATGTGGCCAAGAATGATCTGGAACGCTACCGGGAGGAGTATACCCACTGCCAGACAATGCTGCAACGTGAGCTAGAGCGTCGCAGCCAATTGGAGGAGAGCTACATGGACCTGCAGCGTCGCAATGTCGAACTGGAGGATGAGCTACAGCTGGCCCTGACGCACGTGGCCCATCATCAGGCGACGGTGCGCGAGGCACGCGGCGCACTCAATGAGAGCGATCGCCTGCGCAAGGCACTGGAGCATCGCGACCAGCTGCAGTCTGAAAAGATCGAGCTGCTTGTCTGGGAGCTGGCCAAGCTGAAGCGTCAGGCCAAGGAAGCCGATCGCACCGCCCAGTACAGCGGCCAGCGAGCCGATCAGCTCTGCGAACGTCTGACGCACAGCGAACAGCAGCTGGAGGCCAGCCGCACCAGCCATGCCGTGCTCCAGGCGGAACTGGATGCCGCCGCCCAAAATCTGCACTGCGTGGAGCGCGCCTTTGAGCGCTCTGCTCAGCAGGTGCAAAGCTTTGACCGGCAGGTGGCCAAGCTGAAGCAGCGCCTGCACGAGAGCGAGAAGCGCGCCCATCAGGCCGAGCTGAATGCCCACCAGCTGCAGCAGTCCTCCGCCAATCTGGAGAAGCGGCTCGAGGAGCGTGTTGAGCAGCGCTGGCTCAAGAAGCTCCACAAACTGGACCTGCAGCTCGTTGCCAAGGAATAAATTCTGCCATCCTCTCATTCCAAATTCTACAAGTTTAGCTTAGCAGTCCATCTAGCATATCGTTTAAATATTATGTACTAGTCTATTTAGGTTTAACGAAAATTACAGCAAAAAAAAAAAAATAAGGAAAAAAAAAACACCGGAGAAGAATTAACTTCGGCATGCCGAAATTTTAATACCCTGGCGGAGACTTATATATTTATTATACCAAACAAATCATATGGCATGTGAACGATATAGTATTCCCTACTATTTTCAACTTTCTGTCAATCAGTAAATAAAAAAAAAGGTTGTTGGAACCAAAAATACTTTTGATGCGCAAAAATTTTGATGGAAACGCAAACGCGAAGCTCATCAGAGCGATTTGTTTAGATACCTTACATAACCCAAGAGTTCCAATTTTGAAGGCTATGAAACCCAATTGTTTTCTAATTTATTCAAACGAATTAGTTTTTAAGCATTGGGGACCATTAAATATTGCCATGAGAACTCTGCTAAAATTCCAGCAAAGAGTGTAAAATAATCTTAGAATCGAATTACAACCGAACAAATCTTAGCCTTGGAACTAGTTTGAAAGACAGACGGAAATTTTGTCAATACGCGCAGACAATATATATGACTTGATCAGATATGCTGAATATGGTAGACTCCGCCAGGGTATGGTAGGCGCAATAATATTATGAACTCTTATGTGGCTGTATTTGGAAGAGTATCTCGTCGGCGTTGCGAAACTTGAGCGAGATGCCCTCGACGAACTGCAGCTGCTCGAGTTGATGATCGCTGCAAAACTCAAAGTTGGCTATCAGCTTGACCAGAAAGACCTTCATAATGAAGAAGCTGTAGCGACGACCTGTAAACAAATTTTTTAACCGTTAAGCACTTAACCATTTAAGCAGTTAATCAAGGGCCAAGAGCTCACCTATGCAGGTGCGCAGCCCCTTGGAGAAGGGCAAAAAACTGTACGAGTGTCGACGCTGCTTCGCCCGCTCCGTGCCGGACTGCTGCTGTTCGTCCTGATGCTTCTCCTGTTCCGGCTCCTGGTCGTGATCGAGCTGGTGCTGCTGCTGCTGCTGCAGGAAACGCTGCGGATCGAATTGCTTGGCCCTGTCGCCCCACCAGGCCGCATCGCGTTGCATGTTGAACGTGTCCATCACAACTATCGTGTTCTGTGGCACAATCGCCTCGCGTCCAGCCAGCTGAAAGTCGCGGCTCACATGCCGCAAATTCATCGGCACCGTCGCCAGCAGACGCAGCGCCTCGTTCACGAATGCATCCAAATAGCGCAGCTGCTGCAACTGCTCAACGCCCACATAGCTGGCATCGTTGCCGTGCGGCAGCACGCTCGCAATTTCCGCTCGCAGTCGCCGCTGACAGTCGCCCTTGTGGGTGGCCAGGCACAGCAGAGCAATCATTATGCTGTTCGAGACCGTCTCAAAGGACTGGGCACGTAAAATCAAGTTTATATTGAGAGTTAAGAGAGATCTATGTATACTCTATCTTCGATATCGATAAACAGGCAGCTGCTTAGATAAAGATGACATTTAAATTTGTTACATGCACATCAAAATGATTCCAATTCCCTTTCTAAAAAAATACACCTATCATATCGATAAATATAGATCATAAATTGATGCTTTATATTTTGAAAGACGGTCAGATATTCGATTAACTAACGCGCTTTCTATAAAGATGTTTTAAAATTACATTTAAATATGTGCATGTAAAATCATTATTAGATTAACAATATTTTACTTGTTGGATACCTTCCATCCTATTGAAACCAGATTTAAGGGAAATCAAATGTTTTTGGTGCTTCTTAGAACCCTGACCTTTTATAAAGATCGGATATAAATATAAATACCGAAGTGTAGGAAACCAGAAGAAGCAGCCCAGTGGTTGTGTGTATATATGTATTATGGAAGAAAGTTGGAATGCTTACAATGGCAGCTAGAAGCAAGGTTCAGGGCATCGTCTAGTCGGGCATTCCCGACTAAAGCACTTCTACCCTTCTCCATTTTGAGGGCTTAAGCTTAGTCTTAAGTTAAATATTTCTTGAGCCATCCAATTCAGTGTCCATCGACAACTTTGCAAAATCGATAAAAATCGGTATAAATCGATATTTAGTTTCAGGTTTTATAATCTACGATATACATGACGAGGCTAGATAAGCTTATTGATCAATTTTCCACATTTAAATTTCGGAAACCCTCGCATGTAAAATCTCTCAGATCGACAGACCGACATATTAGTCCGATTTCAATGGCTACAGACTTACCAACTGTATGGATATAGAACAACCGCTTATATTGTAAGAGCCCACTTAGCTTTAAACGATTTCTAGTGTCTGGTACTCACCACCAAAACCATGGATTGTGCCTCATCCTCGATGTCCTGAAGCGTTAGTTCGCCGTTGGCCGCCAGCTGGAACATTTGCTCGATGAAGATGCGCCGTTGCCAGGGTACATCCTCCTCATCGTCGATGGCATTGCGTAGCTGCCAATTGCGATGCTTGCGCTGCACGATTTGTGCCACAAAATCCACCAGCAGTTGGTTGCATGCCTCGGCCTCGGCGTACAATTGAGGCGCCAATAAGCGATGCAGTAAATCGATTTGCAGCCAGGGCTTCACAATTTTAATAGCCGAGATTTCGAGTAGCCTATTAAAAAGTACACACACACACGCACACATCAGCATTAGTCTACGGCTTTTGTGCCGCTGGGGCTGAGACCACTTACCGTTTGTAGGTGGTTGCGATGTGTGCGTCATCCGCTTGCGTGAAATTTGTCGGTGTTCCCATAATGGTGACTGCAATAAAAGGTAACGAGGTGTTAAGACCCAGACAGTCATAGAGATAGAGATAGCGCGAGCGAGAGTGAGTGAGACAGAGATAGAGATGTGACATTCAAATATTGCCCGCCGACAGCAGGCAGAAAGTCCTTAACTTCGGCTACCGACAACATAATTCGCCCCATGCGACGCGCTGAGCTTCATCGTAAGCTCTGGGCCAAAGAATCCCACAAAAACTCCCACTTCAAACCAGCCCCCTTTAGCCGCCAGCCAACTGGTAATGGCCACCGCTAACTGTTTTATCCAGCAAAGTGTCAAATGTCAAGTAATTAAATTTGGACCAAAAATTGAAACGAACGCAGCCAGCGAACGCCTCAAGCACAGTCGGCCCAAGATGTGTGTAAATATAATGGAACACGCCACAAAGCTCTTCTTCGGGCACTTCATACTAATTCGCTCATATGTAGTTGCAAAATTACCACAAATTCAAGGTAAAGCAGTTCTTAACTTAAAGTTCGCCGTTATTAAAGTGTAGCCAAATATATGTATATATGTTTTGTGTATGCATGTATGCATGTTGCATGTTGCATGTATGCATGTATGCATGTTGCATGTATGCATGTATGCATGTTGCATGTATGTACGTATGTATGTATGTACGTATGTATGTATTTATGTATGTATGTTTGTGTGTATGCATGTTGCATGTTGCATGTTGCATGTATGCATGTATGTACGTATGTCTTCTTAAATAATGCCCTCCTACGGGATTCTCATAAATTCAAGTAAGTCCCACAGACTTCACTTCAAGTAGAAGATGCGGCTTCGACTTCGGAGTAGGCAACTACAACTTAGGAAGAAACTGCGGCGTTAACTATGGAGGAAGCGGCTTCAACTTTGAAGGAGGCGGCTGCTTTAATATTGGAGGAGGCGGCTTCAAAATTGAAGAAATGGAAAATTGAGCAAAGGAGGAGACGTTGGCTTTAGCTATTGAGGGTGTAGCGAAATCAACGATTGAGTACACGGGGGCTCGAGCTAAGGAGGAGAAGGCGGCCACGCCTATGAAGGAGGCGGCGGCCTTAATATCGGAGGAGATGACGGTGCCTATATAGTTGCCGGAGGAAGCAGCATCAATTTTTTATGAGGCAGTTAAGAAAAAACTGGTACGTATTTTGAACATAACTATGTCTTATTATATCCGTATATACTAATGTTTGATTTTATGTATCAAAAAAAAAATAAGCTAATAAACACAATCTCTGCTTTCTTCTTTCAGTGTTGTGTATATATAAAAGTTCATCTTCCACCCACTGACAGATGACGATGAATAATCAAGCATGTGAATTGGCAGGTGAGTACCTAATCATATAATATAAATATATATATATATTTATAAAAACGTGTATATATTTTACATGCATGCATAAAGTTCATCTGTGTTTGCCGCGTCCCTGAACCTAAGTATTGATTTCAAGGTTGTGACTCTTCACATGTTTTTCATTCAGAAACATAATTAAGTTTTAAATTCATCAGAGGCAGCACCTCTTGGCTCATATATAATAATCTTAACCATTCTGTTGACCTTTCCCCTTCGGGTTGGAAACAAACGTTTCCAAATGTCTCAATTAGCTTTTCTTTTTAATCAAACCATTCTTTGGGTCAGGTACCAGCTTTGGCTATTTTTGGGTTTAAATTTCAGTTTTTAAATAAAAAATATTAGTGGCGAGAAGCGAATATTTTGGACCTGTGTCACTCTACGAGAAGCTAGGTCCTAAATTAAGTGTATGTAGCTCTGATGAGATATATGATTAAAAACAGTCGGACATGCGCATATGGGTATTACATGCAACATGTTGAGTAACAAAATGGAAATACCCTTGCTGAGGCAGCAGCAAAATAATAACAGATTTTCGCGCCTATGTCGAAGCAATCAATATCCAATCGACTAGTTACTGCATAAGCCTAATCATAATTTACAGCTCAACATGCCCCCCAACGCCCAGCCGAAAGCACTTCTAGTGCTGGCCTGCAGCTTTGAATGGTGACCCTCGGGTCTATGTGGCTCGGTCTCAATGGGTTCCGCGTACGTGAGCCGCATGGAAACTGGACAAACGTGTCGTGCGAGGGCAGCGTTTGGGCAGCGGCCGTTTCAACTTTCTAGCTGGGATTTGGTTAAGGCATTCAATGGGTGGCTACTCACGGCAGGATACCTCCAGAACGGCACGGCTGAGCATATCCTCGGCATCCTTGAACTTAACCGCCGTGCCGTGCAGATGCGACTGTGTGGCAAACTGTTCCACCAGCTGATTGCCCACCATATTGAAGACATCGAAAAAGCTGATGACAATGTTGTGATTGAAGGCGGGATTCAGCTGCTTGCGACGTAGTTTCCACTTTTGACCTGCAATCCCCACAATTAGTGGATGGCTCGGGCTGCCCTGGGTAGGGCTTGGACTATAATTAATACTTACCGCGCGCATGCAGCAGACCGCGACGGGCAAAGAAGCCCTCCTGCATAAAGGTCTTGTCCAGACACTCGGGCGCATTCAATATACATTCCATGCCCGCCGGATCATCAATATAGAGCAGGGCGCGCGTTCCAATCAATATGGCCAACGGGCGCTGGAAGAGCACGCGCAGACGCGTCACCTTGTCCAAAATGCCTGCGGCATGAGGCGAAGGTATTAAGTGGGCAGTGTATTGAGGTAAATTATTTGAGCTACTCAACTGTTCGGATGCAAATTGATGCAGAGCAGAAACCAGAGCAATGGCTGCTGTGCCACGCCCCGCCAGCCATTCAGCTGCCAGATGAGGCGCCAACATTTCCGCTGCTGCCAGCCCAGCAGCAGGGCCAGCAGCGTGCCACACACCCACAATGCCACGTACAGGTGCATTGTTGTTCCTCTTGCTTTGTTGTTGTTGTTGTTGTTTGCGTTGTCGTCGTCTAATGCGGTGCTTTATAGGCAGCTCAGAGCTGACACGTTTGCGCAAGCGATTTCCAATTCCGAATCCGAATCCGTCGCTTTGTCTCGATCCGTTCGCTTGGCCAACTAAAACGCAACTAAAAAACGCGTCAGCGGACCGATCCAACATTGGCCAATTGACAATAAAGAAATTATAATATTTTTTTATTCATAATTTGTTTATATATGTATTATTTTTAATTGCCCGCACAATGCACACGCGTCGTCCACTTTGTATGCCCTGCGGAAAACAAAACAGCTTAAGATATAACGCCCCAAGACTATTAAGAACATATTTCCCACACACATATTTCCCAGTGAACACAGAGGCCATTAGAGCTATAGCTGGAAACTTTGGTATGTAGACTCCCCTTTGTCTCAACTCTATCTTGCGAAAGTTTCACGACAAACTCATTTGAAACATAAAAGTTATTGACAAATATATTTGAAGAATTTGCAGACTGAGCTCAAGATTGAGCTCCTGAAGTCTTAAGCAGTTGAAAGAATTAGTATATTTTTACAAAATACAGGGTATATCTGCGTTGGGTTATAAGCATTTGGTTTTGTTTTCATTTAATTTGTTATTAAAGGTATTTTTATAGATTGTTTAATTTTGTTTTTATTTTTGGGCAACGCTACGTGGACTTTGTGTCGTCGACTTGAGGTTCGAACCGAGCGTAGTAAATACATATTTTCAACTGTAATTGGTTCGGTTCGTTAGCCAGAGTTGCCAATAGCTATGCGAATAACAATAACAAATGCTTGGCAACAATTCAAACGCAAATCAGCGACGTCTCCAATTCCCGATCCACACGAAGAAGCCAAGTCTCTCTCTCTATCGTCTTGTTAGTCGTTTGGCCATAAAATTATGTCACGTAACGTGACGTATCAGTTTTTAATAATTTCCGTTAGCCGAACTATTAATTGGCATTTACCATAAAAAAAAAGAGATTTTGGAAAAAAATAAGTGCATGCATTCCATACATGTTAACCAGGAACCAGGTTTTAATAGACAAAAGATTGAGAATGCGTTTATTTTGAATATTAAAATTAGATGTTTATTTGCAAAAAGAAACTTTTATTTTAGATTTCAAACAGATTGAACCTCAAGCGTTCATACAGATAATATACCATATTCGATAGACCCTTCCCGTTTCTGTATGTCTCACCTATTTAAATGCCAAAATAATTCCATCAAGTGTTCTTTCTGAGTTAAAGTCTCCTTTATAAAAGGTTGCCAACACATCTTAAACAGCGTTGCCAGATGCGAGCGACCTCTTGTCAAAGTCAAGGTGAAAGTCAAAGTCTGCGTCAAAGTCAAATTCGGAATGCAGAAAACCCTTCGATATGCATAGCAGCAGGTACTCATTAAACCATTAAACGAAATACGTAACTTGCGGCTGTCAAAGATTTTTATAGAGAAATTTATTAAAATTCCTATGCAAAAAGGGAGCTGAAAAAATGCTGAACCGCAAAGAGGCAACGGTATGTCACCAAACTCGCATTCATTATCAAAAACAAAAGGCACGAAAGCACAATAGAAGCGACAGGCATTAATGCCATTGATGAGATGCCGACAGGGGGGAACACACATAAAGAATGGGACAAAGCATCACTAAAAAAGCGCGCGAGAGCGGGTGAGATGCGGGGTACATGGAGAGCAGAGAGTGAGATGGCTGCATAAAGAATTTCTTGATTAAGTTATGGAGAATGTCAGGCACGAATGTCATGAGTGTCGCGCGCGACTCTTCTCCTTGTCACTCCCACACTCTCCCTCTCTGTCGCTCTCTCTCTCTCTCTCGCTTTTGCACGGCGCTTTCTGCTTGTCGTGCAACCATCTCTTTCGCTCCTTTGTTGTGTGCTTGGGTCAAGTCAATAAAGCATACTGATTAATGTCAAATTGTTGCTGTGTCTCTTTTTGCATAAATTATGCATAAATCGCAAACATTTGCCAGCCGTTGTCCTTTAAAGCACAAATACGGATGCCAATGACGATCCCGTTGCCTCACCATGTGTCCTTGCCCCTTGCCCCTTGCCCCGTGTGGCACCGTGTCCCCCATCTGCCTGTTGTCGCCGCGCACATTCCAACCTCAGACCCAGACCCAGACCCAGACCCAGACCCAGACCCAGTCCCCCAGATTCCAGCCTCCGTCTCACTTGATGGCACCAGCGCCAGCATTTAAGCTGTTTTAAGTCGCTTAACACACACTGCAAATAAAGAAATCAATAACAAAACAGACAACGACTATCAAATACCCTGCAAAAAAAACAATATATGTTTATCTATCAGCTTGCATATTTATTTATATGCTGCTGGGTTGACTAATGAAAACTCTGCTCAATCTATTTTAATCATAATAATATGCCTTTTATTAATTATGTCTATACCCTAATATTGTGCATAGTTTCTTCACTTTATTATTATATTTCCTTTAAAATTTTGACAAGTTTTTTATTTAATATTGTCACCAATTATAATATCGGTTAAACATAGGTCTTGCATAGTCTCCTTTAAGTGATTCAAAGTTACGTCCTATTTCAGAAATACCAACAAAAAAGAAAATGATACTTTCTTTATTACAATAAAATGTATTTTATTATGCTAGACCTTTTGGGATTTTCAAGAACTCTTAAATATTAAACACTGTATATAAAATATATGCACAAATCGTATTGCAATGCCATTCAGAACCAGATACCGTCATATGATAGCTTACAAGAAAATATTATGTCAAAGTTTTCAACAACTTTTTGTAAATGTCTGGCAACTCTGCACGTGTCAGCATATAGACTTGAAACTTTGCAACATTTCAACAGTATTTGTATGTGTCTATTAACATTCTTATCGGGTATAAGAGAACGTAACGGTTACGCTGAAACTGAAGCTGATGTAGCTCAATTTGACTGGCTGAGTGAATGTGTCAGTCGCATGTTGTTCGCTTTCTGATACCCTGTACTAAGAAAATGGTTAAAACAGGGCATGATCGAGAGCTGTAAGCAAGCCACAGTCATGGATATGGATCCAATCTCTTATAAGACACGAACCTCTGATTCCGTGTAACATGTTCAATAACTGTCTATACCTACCAATTTATTTAAAGATCTCTTGAAACGCGAGATATAGATATGCCAATCGATTGTAAAAAAATATACAATAACTATATCTTTTAACTCTAGAGCTTACAGGGCAGCTCAAATTCGGTCTTTTGTTGCGTACATGTAATTTGCTTCATGTATTTGTTTTCCGCAGCTCCTCTGCTTGATGCCGAAAATGCGGAAAAGCCGTCATAAAAAATGAAAATGCGAGACAGCGGCAACAACAACAAGCAGGCACAAAAATTGTGAATCTGTATATAAATTTAATTTCCCCGCATGAGAATTTCACATAATCAAATTTTTTAAATGCAAGCGATTTTACGGCCACGCTTGAGAACAAAAAAAAAAAAAAAACGGGGGGTGCCCACAAAGGGATGAGATGTTTGTGTGTGTGTGTGTGTGTGTGTGTGTGTGCGCGCGCGTGGTGAAGGGGGGCAGGATTGGGTTGGTGGCTTGGCTTTCGGGGCATGTTGGGATGTTGCTTGCGTTGACATATGAAATATTAACGGGTCCAACGCACAACATACAAAAGTCAAGTGCATGGGCGTGGCAAAAAAAGGCAAAGACCAAGGGGGGGGCTGGTGGTAGTGGCGTGAGTTGCGCCCAATTTGCCATCAAGCGTAAAAACAAATTTTCTTTAACAAGCCAGCATCGCGGCAACAGACATGTGAAGCCCTATAGACTGGGTACAGTCAAGGTGACAGAGTTGCCAGACTGCGAGAATCTTAGACAGACTACCAGACTGCCAGACTATCAGAATGCCAGACTGTCTGTTTGTATACGAATTAGAGCACGTCAAAAGTTTGTAACATTAAATTCTTTTTCCTGTGTGTGCGTATGTGTGCACGCGTGTGTCTGCGTGTGTGTGCGTGCGATTGGTGTGCAGATAAATGTTTTAGCAAAATGAAGACGAAACTGACTGGAGAATGTAATGATGCCACACGTTTCTTTACACATGGCATAGTTCCACAAACCAGGCATTGAGAACTCTGAAACAGGGACATGCGACAGGGGCGTGGGTGTTAAGACGTCCTGTAGGTGAAGGGGGTGGTATATTAAGGGCGTGAAGCGTCTGATTAAATGTGCTTTGCATGCGTGTGCGTGAGCGCATATGCAATGGCAAGCAGCCATAATGGCGATTACACAGCCACACACAACACACACACACACACACACACACACACACACACAGAAACATCTGACTGCCTTGCAACGCCTTCTCACGTATTCTTTTGAGCGTTTCGCTGCGTTACGCGCGCTGCCACTTGACTTTTTGTGCGCCACATCAGAAACTTTGATTCACGAAATTCCACTGGCGCCACACACAGGCACGCACACACACTCGCGCACGCCCGTTTGCATGTGTGTAAATATAAGCATTTAATCGCGAGCAAGCTTTGTCCTGGTCACGCTCCGCTTGACTGCCTGGTTGGCAGCCATCTCTTGTCTGCCTGTGGTCCAAGATATAAAGCTAATCGAATCACAATGTAAATAGCGAAATATTCGCTGAGCATAGCCCAGCAGGTTGGCAGATTTGTTTCACCACAAGTTGCTTATTGATGAAGGCTGCGATGTAAGAAGCTTACGTGACGTCCTTGGTGACATGTCAGCGATGATGTCATCGTAGCTATGGATATGCCGACTAAAAAGGATGGCACTCGAAGACAACGTAGCTGACATATCATTAAGCGTGTCTGCTTACTTAAGTACACCTATTCCGAATTAAAATAAATTTCTTATTCAACCAATCCATGCTTATTCGTTTGCACATTTCCTATATTCTGATAAAAAGTCACTCAAAGCCTGAGCTACAGCAGCGCGTTATTCATTCAAGTGGGAACGATCTTATTTTTGTTTCTTTAGCTTTTACAGCATTTAAAGTGGGAATCCCCTTTTGTCTATCATCTTCATTTACCGACAACAAAAAATAATAAGTAGATTTATTCAGCTGAATCAGCACATTGTTTGCTTGAGTTTTTGCTGATTAGCTCACATAAAGAAATACACACAACCATATACATATGTGCAAGCAAGAATATATATTTTTTTTTTTTTTTGATTGGTAGAATTAGATAAGAAATATAAATATTAAGAAGAATATTACAGATTGAAATGTATTTGAAAAGTTGCAAACAGGGAATCAAACCGAATCGTATTACACTTCTGGAGAGGATGAAAAACCTGGGGGACTGCATTAGTAACGGTTTCGGTACAACGGCTACGTTTCCGAAAGAATATTTTCGATAAGCCAAAAAAAACAAGAAAGAGGTTCTAGTCGGGTGCTCCTGAACCCTCTTCTTCCAACACCAAATGCAAATATATATACTTCTCTAGAAACCACATGTCGGGTTTGGTAACTCTAGCTTTTATGGTTGCGGTTTTGGTTTGATTCCCCGATATACTCAATATAACAGTCAAGCAAGATATTACGAATTAACGTGACTAGCTCACGATAGTTTTGCTATCTGCCAACACTCACGAGTCACGCGCTCATCAGCCGTTTAAAGCTGCGCGCTCAGCTCAAGATCAGCGCATCGATCAGTGTCAATCGAGAGTCGAGATGTTGCGGACCTTCTCAATTTGGCTGCTGTTCGTGGCGGGTGCTTTGGCTGTTTGTGACCTGAATTTGATGGAGCCGAAGCCGATTGTGGTGAAGAGATTCGGCAGCAAGACGGCCATCGTGAAGCGTGCCTTGACTAGCCTCCAAATGTCCACGAACGAGACGGTGACCTTTCACTGTCCCACGGGCATCAGCATCAACAGGAACACCGGCCAGTCGTTAAATATCAATGCGGCAACGGCGGAACTTCTGTGCACAGATAATGGCGTCTATCTGGATGATCGCCAAATAATCCAGCAGCGCAGCGGCGCGTTCATCAGCTGCAGCGCCGACTACAGCCAGACGCTGTACGAGAGCAACCACAGCCTCACCGGCTGCGATGCGGATGCAATGACGCTGCTCGTTGGCTACCGGCTGCAGGCTCTGCCAGATGTAAAGCTGCTGGGCATGTGTTACGATTTGGGAGCGTCGCGTTTACGCTTCGTCAGCTTTTTGGCATATGCGCCGCGCAATGCGCTGCTCGAGATGCACACAGACCACGAGCTGGCCGCCCTGCAGCTGGACAGCTACATTGGCAGCCTGACCAAGTATTTTCGATTTCCCACCAAGTCGGAGTTCCAGACGCAAGTCGATCGCCAGAAGCGCTTGGGCGAGCTCTACGATGGAAAACTGTTTGAGTACGAGAGCCTGCTGCAGGATACGCAACAGATCCAGGAGCTGAACGGATACACCGATATGCTTAGCATTGTGTGGCTGCGCGCGCTCCGCTCGGGCAACTGGCTGCATTGGCTGAACGCTTTGCGCTCTGCCGCCAGCGGCGGCGGCGTCGGCGACGATGAAGACGTTGCTGGCAGCAGGTTTGATGTGCGCGTCGGTGTTTCGGGCGTGGCAACGCTGCCCGTGGCACACAGCTGCAATGCCAGCCGGCCGCTGCTGCTGGAGAAGATCGGCGACAACACGTTGCAGGTGCCAGCGCACATTTGGGCGCATGTTCGAGCGCTGCAGCCGTCGCCCACTGTGCCCGATGAGTTTGTTATTGTCGCACACAATTCGCCATACGTAAGTTTTACTCTCTCTCTTTCTTCCTCTCTCTCACTCTCTCGCTCTCTTTTGTCTCTCTTTCTTGCAGTTCAATGTGCTGGAGCTAAGCTCGTTCTGTGAGGACATCTGCGCTGAGATACCTTGGCTGAGCAACACTCTATTTGGCCAGCTGCATTTGGTGCCCAGCTACGGAGTCGTCAGCTGCTGTCGCATGGATCAGCTGCAAAAGCTCAGCGACTTTCCGCTTGCGCCAGCAGCGCTGCCCGCGCCGACAGCGGTGGTTTCAACGCCCATATCACTTATCTAACCTCGGCGCTCTGAAAGCTTTTGCTGCGTGTCGATCGTTTAAAAATAAATTTACTTCATAAGCTTCACCCTTTTGTTGTTGTCGTTGCTGTCTCTTGTGATTCTGTTTGGAAGCTTCAAGCTGGCTGGCTTGTGGATTCTTCCGGAGCTTTCAATAAGATGCTCACACGTCAGAATCTTGCAAAGGTAAGTTGAAATTTTTGTTTGCTTTGTGATTCATAATTAAGATATACTAAAAAACTAGTTACTTTTAGAATATACTTGAACCAGAAGTTCATAAACTAGTCGAAAGTAGACCAATTTTACATTGACATATACATACATATATCTGCCCTCATGCATATTAATATACATATAACATATAATCTTGATCAGGCTGACAATTTGTTGTGTGAACGCGTTGCTTATAAAACTTTAAATATATACAGACTTAAAACTGAAGCTATAGGCTCTCGCAAGGCAAGCGTTAAGTAATTTACTTTTCGGTAAGTCTCACTAATCGGCAAAAGTCGGTAAATATAGAATTCCAGACACGGTTTTAGAGCATTTCTGATAGAATTTTAAAACAAATAACATCAAATTCGCTTTTATAAGTCAAACACATATCAAGAACATTTCTATCTATATAAATCTCCGACAGACTGATTGGTGATCAACGTACAGCCCAAGCCGTAAGAGTTAGGAAGCTGAAATTTTCACATATGTGATGAAGGTTCACGTTAGGACGGGATTTCGGGAAATTCCAACCGCATTTGTTAAAAAGTCACGAAAAACGTTTGTGTGAAACTTTTTCGTTTACCGTCCGATCGGTTTAATGCTTGTTTTTAAATATCTTTGAGAGAATTTCTTTCAAACGTCACGGGCAGGGTCCGGGGTATACCCGCTATTATAGACATAGGTCAAAATTTCGAAACCCCATCGCTCGGTCAAATCTCATCGTATTTTTACAAGTTTTGGGTCTTTGGGTTTTACTTGGCATCTAAATCAATTTGGCATCTAAATCTATCAACATTATTCTTGGTCAAAATTCCGATATAGGACATTGGTCAACATTTCCCACCCCCATAACTCGGTCAAATCTCATCCGATTTTCACGAGGTTTGGCACTTTGTTTATGTATTTTATACTTACCACGGGTAAAGCCGGGGCGTACACGCTAGTATTATATATATTTTTATATATATCACAAAGGATTTGCAAGTGAAGCACTCGTAATTGTTCATGGTTATGTACTTTAAATCCTGTAAAAACTATACTTGCAGCTTTGGTTCGTTACGATAAACGTTAATAAACCCAAACTACTTCAGTTGCAGCTACGTAAATGATAAAACTGTTTCCCAGCCGCAGTTATGTTAAGAGCTGCGGGTATTACGTGGCAGCTTCCATTAAAAATCCTGCCATAAAATACTAAAGAGACAACACTCTGTGGGTTTTTTTTTTGTAAGTGAAGGACCAGGGCCACTTAAAATGCAAGCCGATGATGAAATGTGCATATAAAAAACGTATCTGGCGTTTGTAATAGCCGCTCACTGATTCGAATTTAGTTTGGGTTAAAATGTATAAACGAAACGGCAAGAACGGCTAATAAATACCCTTACAGCACCGTATTTAGCTTCGCTGTGCTTTAATACCAAATGATATATATGTATATAGCAGGCCGATTTGATGGGGTCTCACAGTCTTGATGCTGGGATTGTTAACGATTCCTTGAAAAACCGAAAAAACGATTCATGGAAAAACAAAATTTCGACTGATCATTCCTATAGCAACTACATGATATATTCATATATATTCGTAAAAATATTCTCGGTACGCTAAATACTCGCTAATACTCTTGAAGACAATTGCTATACAGCTTTAGAGATATGTGTGAAGATCGTTAATGCTGAGTTTGATGAAAATATCTTGGAAAACAGAATATTTTGCCATACAAGATCCCACTTTTCGATCGATCGTTCCCATGACAGCTATATGATCCGCTGTTGATAATATTCTGCATATATATAGAGCGCATGGGTGAAGCTTATGCGGGAATTTCGTCAAGATGTGTTTAAAAATTATATAGTGGTCCGATCCGGACAACATATGTACACCAATACTTTATGGTCGGGGAGATGTCACCTTCTATGCTTTAGACATATTGTGACAAAGTTAGAATACCCTTTACAAGAGTAGACAACAAATAAAAAAAAGAAAATACAGCCTCATATCATTTTTTATTCTTTCATTTTTTTGTGTGCTGCGCGCCAATGAATATTAAAATATTTGTGTGTGTGTGTGTGTGTGTGTTTGTGCGGGGGAGTTTTTTGTTGCATGATTTCGTTAAAAACTTTTAATTGGATTGCAACCGCTTTAATACTTTCATAACGGCAAACGCACGTCCTCTTGGTCGCACAAAACAGAAAATCAATTAAAATGCCGCTCAGTCAACGCGTTGAAGGCTAAAATATGCGTCCAGGCCAGGCCAGGCCAGCAGACAGCTCTCCAGTCCACGGGCCATCAGGCAATCAAGGGGCTTGCCAAATCGATGCGCAGCAACAAAGTATCATCCAATACAAGTAAAACAAACTATCAATAGCCGATTTCAATGGCCAACATTTAACTTTGACGCTTTGCTAGGGCGGTGGGCGGAGCACCATGTTCAGGGTTCGAGCGCCCGCCGTTTAAACAGAAGTCGAAATATTTATTAAATTTCATAAACGAATTGTAAACGGGCAGGTGAAAAGTGGCAATGTGTTGCATCATTTTTGACTGTTGAATCATTTTTATACCCTGAACTCATTAAAAATGGGTATATTGTATTTGTGCAAAATCCAAATGTGTGTAACAGGCAGAAGGAAACTTCTCCGACCCCATAAAGTATATATATTCTTGATCAGCACCAATAGCCGAGTCGATCTAGCCATGTTCGTCCGTCCGTCCGTCCGAAGAAAAGGGTTCAGGGTATCCCCTAGTCAGGACTTTTTTTAGACTTCTATTTATTTTAGCCAATATCCACCAGCATTTTTGGGCTAATCAAAGTCGCTTCACTGTGGGTCTTCGTCGGCAATCAAGTGCGGAGGAGAAATAATCGCTGCCCTCACATTCACCTGGAACTGTCGCCCCCTAAAATCCATACTCTAGCCAAACCCCCGATTAAAAGGCGAACAGAAATCAAACAATTTTTTAGTACTTTTGCCAGTACTTAATATGAGTTGCGAAGACCTTGAATAATGCATATAAATCCGAAATGTATCCCTTAACCAAGTTGATGAACGATTTGAACTTTTCGCTCGTTGAATTAAAACGAATTTTTGCTTCATACTGGTATGGTGGTCATTTTTTATTAGATACTTTTTAGATTTTTGTTCAGCGTGAAGGCTCTTGTATATATTTTTTTTTTTGTTTGTCTATTTTTTTGTGCATTTTTTTACATTTTTTTTTTTTTTTTTTTTTAATATTTTGTTTGTTTTGGTTTTTGCGTTTTTCTATATAAATTTCCATCTACATACATAGTTTGTTTTTTGTTTAGCTGTAGAACAATTATCACATCTTAATATATATGTAGCTACACTTAAAATTATCCATTATATGATTTGTGCATATGTATGTATTTTGTGTGTGTCCAAATGTTTCCGTCTTCTTCTTCGGTTTTGTATATAAATCCTTGTAAAACTATGCAAAATCTTTTTAAAAAAAAACCCAAAACTCTCAAGTGATCATCAACAACATCAACAACAACTGAAAGATTATTGGATAATAAGATCAAATAGGGTAAGCTCGTAATATTTACTTATATCAAAACCTTTTGTAAGCCTTTACTGATTTGAAAGAGGGGATAATATATGATGTACTCATTCAAAGTGCTGAGGGATACTCAAAAGTACTCGAAACCATCGATAGTAGGCTTTTTTATGTCTTTAACATTCAAACTAGAAATGGCTCTTAAAAAGATTTTCGAATTTGTAAGCTTAAGAGCCGTTTTTGGTACAAGGTTACGGGCTCGTAGCCCAGTGCTTGGATTTGGGTTTGTCTTAGCCAAATTCCAGTTTTATTAAAAAAAAAACGTTTGGCTGGTAGCTTATAGCTATATCCTATATATGTTATTAGAAAAGTAATAATTATGATAAATAATAATTATTATGCCTATGGACTCTTTTAAAAATTTGTAAAATATTTACTTTCAAACATTAGCCTAGATAAGACAGAGTGTGATTCTGGTATAGCTCATAAATCTATGAATTTATTCCTTTTCTTTCTTTTTATTCTTTTCGTAGTTATCCATACTCATACTCATCTGATCTTATACTCGTTTCTACTCATACTCATATGTACTTATACTCATTTCAATATAAGTCTCATTTTGCATAAATCGACGAATTTCTTCATCTGATCTTATCATGAGGATTTTAAATGTACTTATACTCATTTCTACACATAATTATGAGTAGTATTTGCATATGTCTTTGAATTTCCACATTCTTCATCATATACTCATTTATATTCATACTCATCTGCACTTATACTTATTTCTTCACATTCCCATCCGCACTCCTATTCATTAGTTCATTCCTGGAAGTTCCACAACTCCCCGTGTACCCATAATACTTGTGATAACTTTTAAGGAGATCGGCTTGAACCAGTTCCAGCGTCTTGAACCAAACAAAATTTGATTTGTTTAAGACAAGCAACTATCGATAGTTAGTGACAATCGAGTTGGACATTTGCCTGGCTGTCGGCTGTCCAAAAATGCGAAATGGCTATAAACACTTGGCCACTCGGCTACCTTGCTGTGTAGGTGGATGGGTTGATAGGTTGATAGGTTGGTTCGCACTGTGTGCATCCTTTTTATCTGACACTCATTTCGACAGACTGAAAGTTGGCTCATTTATATTGTATAAACAGTGCCGTTGGCTCGCATTGAAAACTGTTTCAGTTGCCGCTGATGCTGCTACTTATTGCCCCCGTCCGGCACCGGCAACGTCCCTGGCACCGGGTCCGACACCGTCCCTGGCCCCGGGGGACTGTTGGCTGGGTAGCCCCCCCTTTCTACTTTTATAGCTGTTTCTCATTTATTTTCCTTACGGGTTTTTCCACATTTCTTTTACATTTTCTTTTCTGTCATTTGCCGCTTTAAGCTGGGCCACTGTGAAAAGCGTGTGGCCGTCAGTTGTTCTGCAAAATCGTCGGTACATTTCAAAGGCCAACAATTCATTAGTTATTTAAAGAAAGTTTTTGAGCCCCAACCCTGCCAGCTGACCTTTTGTCTTTGCCATTTCAGTTCACAATAATGTGCACGTTGATGTTGACGCTGATGATGACAATCATATACTATATAACTCCACAGAAGAACAAAACAAAACAAATTGTAACAAAAAATGCAGAGGGCCTGACAAACCCTTTGCCAAAAGCATGCCATTTGTAATCCCGTGCCGTGTCTCAATATGTGTTTGTGTGTGTGTGTGTGCCGTGTTTCTGCCCCGCCCCGACTAAAATGCAATCGAATACATGAAACAAAAACAAAAAACAAATGCATTTCGTATCCTTGCATAACTCGCCTAGTAGATGCACTCGCCCAGCAAATCGCATTCACCCTTCTCCAACGGCTTCAGCCACAGCGGATTGTAGTTGGGGCACAGTTTCCGATGGATGGGCATTTTGATTTGCACTGGCGTCGGCGGTACACCCTCCCAGTTGTGTCCCTCGAAACGCTGGCCATCGGATCTGTTGCATTGCATGCTAAGCGGCTCCTGGATGTACATCGTATACAGTTGGTCAACGTGCGGCTTTGTCCATTCGATAGTCCGATAATTCGCAGAACGTGCCCCGTTCAAGTGTATGCCATGCTGATGCTCCTTGCTGTACGCACACAAAGTGCGTGTGCGTGTGCGTGCGTGTGTGTGTGTGTGTGTGCACAAGGTGAGCGATTGGTTGGACGGTTAGAAAGGGAGCAAAAGATGGATAAAGTCGTGTAATTGCCTACGGTTAGCAAAATGTCAATGCTTTGTATGTGCGACCATCAAAGCCATTTTAATGAGTAAATTGCCCAAATTCCCATTTGCCCTACTCCATTAACGTGCAGCCGTAAATCAGTGTTGAAAAATGTTCCAATTTACTGAATTTACTAATTTGCCAGTCGCATGTTAACGCAGCCAGTGTTGAAATCAAGATACAAACGATATCAATCTAATGACTTGGGAGCGTTTTAAGATATGTTTCAGCTACGCGAAAGTAAAAGGAAACTAAAATCTAATAAGTTAATAAGTACTTATAAACAAATCATTTTAAACATTGGAAGTGGAACATTTGATTTTGGAAAAAAACAAAAAAAGATCACCTAACCTGATGGGATAGAATGTTGAATCAAAATCTGATTTGAAATGTTAGAATTCCAATGCAAAATGACGCAAATGAAATTGTTGAAATAATGAAATGAAACATTACGCTTTTGAAGTTGAAACATACATGGAATGATGAAATGAAACATTTCGCTTTTGCAAACTCCAAAAAACAGGCTCAACAAGCATAATTAAATGATATTATATGGAATGCTGAAACAAAGCTCTGAGAAAATATAATTTTACAACATGAAATGGAACGGAAGAAAACATTAAACAAAACGCGCTCTCTCCATCGCTCTCCCTCTCTCTCCCTCTCTCTCTTTCCTGTTTTTTGCATGAGACATTGAAACTTTTTACACTTTGTTTTCGCATCATAAATTTTGGAATTGTATTTGTTAGCTGTTCCTGGCTTTACATAAAGCTGACTTTAACTAGTTCAGAAGCGATTGCCAAGCACTCTGAAAAGCGCTATAGATGTCTACATTTTGTTAGCTAGGCTTTTCCTATGGCCTTTTCAAGTTTGCAATAATGCGGATTTTACCTTTTGCTATGCTGAACAGTTCGTAAATTTTCATAAGTTTTTCTTTTTTACTTTTTTAAGGGGGGGTGGGGGGGTGGCGACTCATTCAATCAGCCGCCTTTTGTCTGGCGCAAACCTTTAAGCCCACTTTTTGGCCCTTTTGTAAATTGGGAGCGCAAACGCTCAAACGCTGTTGAAAAGCTCACAAGTCTCTAATCTAATGTATAAATTTCTACTTTCATTCTACTGATGTTGCCCTCCAAATACACAATACACCCAACAATGCGACGCGTTTCAAGCACTTGGGAGTTGGTTCCCTGGTTCTCTGGTGTTCTCTGGCTGTACTTTTGGGCCGGGCCCATTAACGCTGGCAATTAGCGTGCACCTTGGCGTAGCATTTGCTGCTGGCAGGAAGCTGTAGACATTTCCGTTATGAATACGCTTAGGGCGCCGCAAGCCGCAAACCGGAGCCACAACAAACGCCAGAATGCCAAAGTTTTGCCTTTGATGGCAATGCCAGGGTAAACACACGCAGAGAGACAGAAAGAGAGAGAGAGAGAGAGTGGGCGAGGGCTGGGAGCTGGGAGCACAAGTACAAGAAATGCCAACTGGCGCAAAATGTAGATTGAAAAGTAACGCAAAACATTAACGACGCCCACGCAGTGGCCGCCTCATCCGCTTACCGCTTCATATAGATAAAGTAATCCTCGAGCGTCTCCTCCGAAACGGAACTCTTGCACACCTCCAACTTGGTCGCCGGATAGTAGTGTATATAGTTGACGCACATCTCATCGCTAATGGAAAAGCCGCCCAGCGTGGCATTTGTATCGGCAAGCGTATTATAATAGCACGTTGTGACCAGAGCGTCGCCCTACATGGGAAGAGCAAGAGGCAGGCACAGTGGGTGGGAGAGAGCATATGTAGTGCATCTGGATTAAGCAAATTTTGCGTAACGCATACTTACCGGCAGCACACGCGGCTTGTAGTGCAGTGTGCGTATTTCCTGAAAATGATGCGAATAGTAATCATCGCGATTCACCTCGCGCAGCTCCTGTTCGCCGCGAAAATGTCGTGTTAGGATGCGAACGCCTCGCAAATGTGTATGCAGCTGCGATCCAAAGATGATGATGCCCGTCCGTGGCAGTGCGGCCCGTGTACAATCGGCCACACAGTAGCCACTCAATGGGAACGCCGTCTGGCCGGGCGGTATGGCCATTTTGTCGGTATATTCCAGACCCAATTCCATGACGCCGGCATCGTATTGCCGCAGTGTCTTTGATACTTTGATGCGAAATCCAGAGCTATCCACCAGACCTGCAGGTCGTATGATTAATATTAATGCGATTGCTGGACAATTGCGAGGGGCGGTTAGGCTGAAAGGGGGGCGGGCTCGAAAGTGTACGCATGTGTGCAGCACACTCTAGAGCATGACTCAACACGACATGTTATTCTTCCATAACAAATTGTCAGCTTTCGTGCGTGTTCGTGTTTCACGGATTTTCAAGCAACACGGGAAACAAATTTATTAATTTTTTTGTTATTATTCTTACTATGGGTAATCTATTGTTTTTAAGAAATTTCATTCAATTTTCTTATTCCACCCAGAAAAGTGGATTTTCCGCAAACTGTGAATTACCTATTACGTGTATTCAACAGTTCTACGCCCATTTTTTGGGGTGGATCTTTTTAAATCGTTATAGCACTTGCAAAAAAAAGAAGAAATGTTCAAGGTAAATGAATTGTTTGCGTCTCCTGTTAAGCCATTTAAATCCACCCATCTCTAGCCCGTGCTCAGTTACAGACGCTGAGCTGAGTGGTGCACTTGGTATGCTTTAGCCATGCCCACACTCTTGTGGCCATGTAATGCGCAAGACGATGCCATCGACAAGGATATAAGGTACACAAGGACACTTCAAGCAGCAATAATGACATTTTGCTCCTGTTTGTCGCAGTCACAGCACTCGCTCTTGCTGTTATTTATACAAAAGTTTTAATGAAATCACCCCAGTGCATGCCTGTAAATAAATGTGTGTATATAAACATATACACACATACACATATCTGTGTACATATGTGCATTTTTGTACACTGATCCACTTGAGTGCGGGCCGCCAAAAAGGGGGGCGGCCAAAGGTTGTGAAACGAGTCACACAAAAGCAGCTCAACAATCATCAAAATCGAATTACCCCGGCTACATTCCCATTGTCAATGTGACCAAATTTTCGCCCGTTTCCTTTTCCGAGACAACAAAGCAGTGTTGGTAAACAAACAAACAAAAAACAGAAGCCTTTGTAGGGAACTGTGCTCAGCTGTGCACAGCAGCTATTATCATGAGCCCCGCAGGAAGCCCAATTCACTATTTTAAATCTCCAAGCATGTCTGACATGAGAATATCGTTTGCGATTTCAAAAATTCTCTTTGGTAGCGGTAATAACAATATTTGGTTATTCAATCAGTATTTCAAAAGTATTTTGCGCCTGAAAAGTGCAATTGTCATATCGTATTTTGTCTTGCTAAAATATCGAAAGACTTAAACATTTGAAAGAAACACTGATTAAATAAATATAAATTGTGCTCTAGTCGGGAGTGCCCGACTGAGAAATACCCTGAACCCTGCGCCTAGCTACATTCATAAGAGCTCTAGCTTCCACACACGCGTGGTTTAGCCAACTCCTGTGCTTCTTCATTTGCTTCTCACTCTGAAAAACGTGTTCTTGAATATCTTCGGTGTTTGTAGTCCGATCTTTATGCAGTTTTCAAGCCATAATCATGATAGCCGAGTGCAAATAAATACCAAAGCGCAATGTTAATGCTGTCACAGTTTTAAAGTTTAGCTATGAATCGCTGTAGGTATCTATAAAGTAAAATGTTTTAAGTCTATATACATATACTATATGAAAGTTTATTCCATCAAGCTCTAACAGTTTGAGTTTTTTCCAACAGCAATTGTATCACTTTTTGTTCACACCTCTTTCCATTTACATAATATATTTTTATCTATATAAATTCGTGCTGCTTGTGATATACGAAAAGAAATATATTTCTCGAACTTGAGTAATTCTGTCTGAGATTTACGGACAAACATAAGTAGATCGATTCAGCTCGTCATCCTGATCAAGGATATGATACTCTATAGAAACGTAATCTTTCAGCTGCATTCGACACTTTCATAAAACCTTATTCCCTGCTGAAACATTTTAAGTGCGAATTCAATTTGTAAAATTGAACTTTCAATATCAACTGTAACTTTACTCACCCGCCTGCAGCTCCGGATTATTGAAGTGCACCTCGAGTCGAACGTAGGGATTAAAATCGGGTCCACCGACTGGCAGGCCAGCCTCAGATGGATATGTAAAAGTGCTGGCACCCATGGCCCACAATGACATTACCTTGGAGCAGACCTTGGCCTCCAACGGCAGCTGTTCGCAGTCGCCATTGTACAGTGGAATCTCAACGTGGGCGTCCGTTTCGCAGTGGAACACCTCCATGTGATGTATAATGCCGGGCGTCTTGATAATCGGCTCAAATTGTACAATATGCAAACGATTCTTGATTATGTCATCCAAACGCTGCACATGACACCAGTAGGTGGTCTCCTGCTTGGGCACCGGCGCCTGCTCCAGCGTGATTTCAATATGCTCCAAATCGCTAGCGGAGTGGTGGGGAGGGGGGGAGAGGAATACTTAAGATCGTAATATCCTTAGAAAGGCGAAGCCCTGAAGCACTTACGTTTCGGGTATGAGTATCTTGTCGGCGCGCAGCAGCTGCAGCATCTTGAGACCCGCCTCATGTGGTGCACTCACATTGGGCAACGCAAACTGATGATCCTCTAAGGCGAGCTCCGATTCGCCGCGTGCCCAGACCACATACATGGTTCCCTCCTGCAGCAGGTTAACAGGGTTAGCATTCGGATGCAACAAAATGAAATGCCACTCACGTGTAGTCGCAGATCGAGCGGATCGCAGGTATCAAACTTGCGCTTGAAGGCCAGCGTAAACTCATCCATTTTGAAGACCTCGCAGTCCTGCTGGTAGTCCTTGCGCACCCAATGGCCATCTGGGCTGGTGTACGTGTCGGTGACCACATTGAAGAAACCGTTCTGATTCTCAAAGAAACAAATATCCGCATCGGCTAATCCGCCGCGCTTCGAGAAGCCCAAATAGAACCAACGATGCTGCTCATTGAATGCATTCTGCAAATGGAAAAGCACCTCCTGCTTGTACCAATCCACCATCCAGCTCAGCTTGATCTCCTTGTCATCCAAATAGACTTCATGTAGCTTTGTATCCGAGAGACCTGTGAACGGAGTTAAACGGTTGAACGCTTTTAGATGTTAACTCTTAACTCATTGGCATAAGCAAGGCTCAGAGCTATTTAAATAAATATTAACTAAATGTAAGGAACTTTTCACACAAAAACTAGGTTTGTGGATGTGGAAAAAACCTGGTTTGTGAAGCGAATTGAAAGGAAGGTAGCTGGTTCGAACCAACGACAAATTGTTCTGTTAGCCGAAAGTTTGTCCTGATCTAAAGTAATCTTAATGATGCACAAAACAGTACGTCAGGGATAATAATGTTTAAATATTCAATAGATAAACTTCAACTACAAAAAACATTTCCCTCTCCGTCAAGGGGAAATGCCAATCCATCCTTAAGGCAGAGAACTGGCCCCAACCAACGACAAATTGTTTTAGTCTTAAGTTTCCTTAGTTTGCTGAATGTCTCAGTCCATAAAAAAAAAATAAGAAAAAAGAAAATGGAGTTAATCTGATAAATTCAAGACCTCTTGCCTGCATTCCGAGCGCTCTCGACTGTTATTTGACTCTGGCTTTTTTGCTATTTACTGACAAGTCCGAAATGAATGATAGCAATAAGAGCACGTTTACAGTTACACGTTGGATGGCGTGGTCAGAAATGGGCGAAACGGCAGAATTTGTAGTCCATGGAGCGATAATCAAGTTGCCTCTATACTAATTACCAAAAAAACAAAAGCAGAACCGGACGCAAGGCAAAGGAAACGAATTCAATCTTTCAGCCATGTTATCTGCTCTGCTTCGAACCGCACTCAAATCCTGTGCAGCTGTACACGGACCAGGTCATTAGATTTATGTTACCAAAGGACTCTTGGCCAGGCAACCGAACATCAATTACAACTACAACAGCGTCTCGACTGACTTGCTGTGGGCTGGGCCCCAGTCACTGGAGCGGCAGTAACGAGAAAGAAAACCCAATAAAATGTCAAATCCAATTGGCAAACACACACACACACACAGCAGCAGCAGCAGCTATATCGTGTGAACGTAGTTTGCAAAGTATATCAAACTGTTTGACAGCAGGAATATAGAGCTGAGGGGCATTTGCCGAGTTGCCGAAGGGCTGTTAGATGGAGTGCAAAAAAGCGACGGTGGAAACACTCGATTACAATCACAAGTGACAGCGATTCGCTGCGTTTCGCCATTCGCATCGCATGAGACCAACGAGTTTATTGAGATAAACCAGCGCCAGATCTGGGCCTGGAGCAGGGGCTAGAGTCGGCTCCAGAGCTGGGGTTGGAGCCGGAGCCGGAGCCGGGGCTGGAGCCAAAGCTGGAATAGGGTAACTGCAGCTGATGTCCATTGCTTTGCTGCGTTCATGAATTGCGCTTCCCCCTTTTTTTTTTGTTTTCGTGGTGTTTTATCGCAATTGGAGTTGGGAGCGGCGTCTAGGGATTTCTGATGTGATTCGCAGCCAGTGCGCATATCCCCATGCGTAAGCTTGCAGATATGTGCAACAATTTGAAGGCTACAAAAATGGTTTGCGCTATGAATGCCAATTTGCATTTATATAAATCGCATCTAGAACCAAATCTTTGCTCAAAAACTAATCAAAACAAAAGTTGAACCAGCACTTTTTCTTGAAATGGTTTGATTTGCAAGTGCCGAGTCGATCTGTTTGTACTGCCAAAGCTAGACACTTAAAACTTGCCTTTTATACTCAGGCTAAAAATATAGTCTGGTTATCGATAATTATCGATTTCCAGACCTGCCTACTTGGGCATAACTTGATAATTATAAGAGCTTGGCATGTAGATGCTCGTTTTGTCTAGCTAGCTGCACAATATTTCACATTTTGGACACCTCGCCCCATGCCAAGCTCAGCGGAAGTAATATGCCACAACGGAATGGAAGCTGCAAGCTGACGTTAAGGTAACTGCGCTGAGAGTTCGATTGTCCGGCACTAAAATTGATTTGTTATCCTACATATGTCCCACTGCTAAAACACACACGCATACATACCCTTGCACACACACACACACACACTCAGGCACACACATACGCACAGACAACAACCATTCACAGGCCCTCACATATATCATAGCCAAACGGCGTCCGCGCCAACTCGTTTCTGTTTGCTTTGCATGCGAGTCAGAATAAAAAAAAAAAGTAATAAAAAAAGGGAAAACAACGTGTTCTCACACCAAATTTCCATTTAGAAATGCTTCTACGTAGTAGCTGGCGCTGGCGTTGTCGTCTCTCAAGTGGAAATCGCAACGGCAGCGGTTAAAGGCAACAACAAATTGTACTCATTGTTTGGTTTTGTCAATTTATCATTTGTGCAATGGAAAACGAAATGCGCCAAACTCATGAATAACTGAATAATGTTTAAAGTTTTCGGTTTCAAATGATTTTCATTTTATGCTATCATTTGACAGACATCTGAGCAGCACATTTATAAACATCAGTTTGCATTATACAAAAGTATGCACCCAGTGCTATCTGAATTAGTAGCACAGTCGGTTGATATACAACCTTTAAATACCCTTCTTGTCTGCTTATTTATGGTCATAATCATAATCAAATCATGTGATATATCCATTTTCCATCAAACTTACAAAACTTGGCCAGATGGCATTTCTCAGCTAAGTCACACACAATCTGCCCTTAAAACTTTGGACTATTTTTAGTGGAGAAGTGGAAAAATAAATACACAAATAACAAGGTTTATATAATCAATCGACGATAACTTGTCCATAGTACAAATGGTTTTTCAACATTTCTTATGTATTAATTCTTCTATCGCAAATGTATCTTCCGCGCGACATCAACGTCTATTAAACTCTTATCTCTGAGGAATTTAACGAGAGTATTGCGCATAAGCTATTCATGAGTGTGTGCTTTAAAAATTCACACACACACACATGTGTATGCATGTATTGTACAAAAGTACTTCTTTAATTTATGTAACCTACTTTTGAGCTGCTGAACTGTGACAGTCCAATAAGCGCCAGTAACTATCTTTTAAATTAAATCTAAATATATCAGATGCTTAATCTTGGCTTGACACACACACGAACACACACACACACACACACGCACACATACACGCACACACGCATACACAGACTGTCAACCGGCACTCGAAAAGTTTTAATTCTGTTGAAATTCGATTTGTGTTGCCCACTTTTCAGCTGAAGCTCAAGCCAAAAACTATCTATGAAATTGTTGGAGCCCCCTCCCACCTGCTCTACCCTCCCACTTCCCACTTCCCGCTTCCCTCTTCCATCTTTCATCTGCTGTATGCCGCCTTCAGTCAGAGTCGAGCCAGTGACTCGCTTTTCAATTGCTTTATTCTCGATTGCTTTGTCTCAACTTTTCAATTGCATTTTCATTCACACTTAACAGCTTTTACCCGGCGGCAATTTAAGCTCCAATACCAACAACAACAATGCATTGCACACATAACTGTAAATTTAATAAACTTGTTCAAAGTTTATTGCATTTGCTTGACTTCCCTTTAGCTGTATGCTCCCAATACCAAAAAATATATACACATATAGATAAATATATATACATGAAAAAAAAAAAAATAGAAAAAATGGCTTTCTTCGGCAGGCCGCATATTGAATACTCTTGCAGACATGTGATATGCGCTGTAGATATGCGAGAAGAATTGTTAAGCTCGCGATGGCAGAGTTAAGCTTACAAATACAAAAGCTTTTCACAGATTCTACCCAAAGAGCATGATTCCGACAAAGTCTAGCTTATATGTATAAAACATAGTTAAGGTCGAGATATTATGAAAGCAAAAAGTTGTTCATACAATTTCTTTATGCTCGACCGATCTTGCCCCTAGCAGCTATCAACACAATGCATTTGTTTAGATCCGGCATGACAGAATCCTTCAAGCTGAGAGTGTAGCTTACATAAAAACGGACAGACAGGCAGATAGATATATTTGGTATACACACACTTTTGCATGTTATATTCAAGCACTACAAGCTTGCCAAGAATCGGACAACAAGCACCGAAGTTACGCATTTCCCATGCATAGAGTAGGGCCATGCAAAGAACAAGCATAAAGTACAGAGCTTGTGTGCGTGTGTAAATATGTGCTACTGATATTGAAAAAGGGGTATCTTCTGATATTCAGGGTATCTTCAAATCGGGCACTGCCAACTAGTTTTTCATTTTTTGATGCTGAACTTGAAATGCCAGTTTGATGCCTGATGTATGTTTGTGTGCGTGTATGAATGCATGCGTGTGGTGTTGCTGGCAATGGTGCTGCTGGTGGCTCGCGTCTATGAAGTACGTGAATGTGGTGCAGAGTACAGCGCATAGTTGAACGTTTTTTTTGCCTTTTCGAAAGTGAAGACGGTCGACGACAAGGACGCTTACGAGGGCATGGGCTAGGGCGGAGGCGAGAACGTGGCTGATGATGAGCATTCGGCATGCCAAGGCGCACAGGAATTTTCTTATTATTCACTGCATGCGAACAAATTTGAAGGAGCTTAGGTGGGGCACCACAGCCAGCGAATCATCGCACCGCAACCCAGAACCGCCCAGTCGCATACTGACGTGTTCTGCTTAGGCTGCTGCTGCTTGAAAATATTTTTAGTATTTGTGTGGACGGACGCATTTGCCTGTGCTGCCATAAAATAGCTGATGTCATTATTGTAAACGCTAGTTGCACAAATCTTCAATTGCTTTAGCTAGCCCCTGCCCCACCCTGGTGCCCAGTGGATCCCAGCATCGTAGCCAGTCCTATCTCTTTCTCCTTCTCCTGCTCCTGCTATACATACATATATATATAATTTTAAAAATATTTTTTGTGCCTCTCTCAAGTGTCGCTTGGGCATCTTGGGAATGCTTGGCTTGCTGCTGCACCACTGAACCACCACCCGTTTCCTGCTGACTTTTCTTAACACCCTCTTCTTAACCAGCTGAACACTTTATTGAATTCCCTTTTTAGCGCTTTGCTCCATTTCGATTGCCATGTCGACTTGTGCGAGTCCTTCGCTCCAAGTCTCTTATTATAAAT